TCAAAACGTCGGCTTGTTCATGTACTCTTCCAGGGTCTGCAAGAGAACAGCGAGTTAGAACAGCTTCCCTTGAGCTGCATCCTATAGCAGACTGTGAAATCTTTCCCATATTCCTTTGCCTTTACTGAAAGGTAGTGTTGAAAAGTTCGTGTGAACTTAAATCTCTGCATTCTGATCAAGAAGGATGGTTCGAAGTTGAGTGCCATTTGTATATGCACCCATAGGGCTCGAGCTAACTAAAGATCAACTGAGGAGAAGCTAAGCCGGATCACAGACTGAACGTCAGACAAGAGCAACGCTAAAGCAACAGCTACAATATATCACTGCTGACTTCAGAGGAGTGTGCCTGCTAAAATGATCATGAGGCACATGATCACCAGGCACATGTATGAGAGATATCAAATTCTATTTGTGGAGCATATTTACTGTTGCAGATATTGTACAGAACATCTTCCTTACACTTATTGCCAAGATATAATGAATACACAATCATAAGTCTTAAGATTTCCTGCCTTGTATCTTGAGGAGGTTTTCTTCCAAAGTATAAATTAGGTTTCTTCATCTTCCTCAACAGTTACCAGGTTTGTGACATGCTACAAGGCCATGATTTTTGTCCAGACTTCTTAAATGTTTGAGTGGCTTTACAATGACAAGCAGAGTTCGAAGGTATGGTGATGACGCAAGCCCTTACCATGCACGATGGATGGACTTTTCTCTTGCACTCTTTCCTATAATATCTGTGTGTGCAACACAGTGGGTTCTGGGTTAAATCAATAAGATTAATCATGGGGGGAGACTTAGGTAATACCCCTGCCTTTAACAGCTCAATTTGTGATGCTCAACGCATTCTTAAGCCTGAACCCCAGGACACGTGGTTCACTTGACCCTGCCAGGAAGACAATCAACCAGTATGGGCCAAACAGATGAAAGCCAAGACCAAGGCCAAGCCAGATTGTTCAGAGGATACTAGGGTTACAAATTAGGTGTGTTTCAACTGGTTTTCACCAGCTCCATTTAGAACGCCAGTGTTCCTCTTCTGAAAATCCTATGGTCTCAGGCTATTACACCTTAAAGGTGAACATTAACCAATAAGAACTGACACCCCAAGACCTCTGCCCTCTATCTCCTTTTATAGATGCTGCCCATGTCTTCACAGTTAGCAAGGGTGTCGCATTGACCAGGGGCCCATGCTTGTTTTGTGGCACCACTTATAAAAGAATGCAAAGTTACAAATACAAAATTGAGCATAAAGATTTTGAAAATGGGAGGGGGGGGGGAGAAAATGACAGGAGATTGCAAATTTTTTTAAATGTTATTTTATTGTTTAAAGTATTACAAATAGTAGTACGTTTCCTATTTTTCCCCATTGACCTTCCCCTAGCCTCCCCTACACCCCCCTCATCCCCACCTCCAGTGTCTTGTATTCATTAGTTATGCTTATATGCATGCATATAAGTCCTTCGATTGTTCTGTTACCTCCCCCCTCCCCCTAACCCTTCCCAGCTTTCCCCCTGTAGTTTGATAGTCTGTTGGATGCTTCTTTTCCTCTGTATTTACTTTTGTTCATCAAGTTATAAGGTTCTTTATATTCCACAAATGAGTGAGATCATGTGGTATTTTTCTTTCACTGACTGGCTTATTTTTCAAAGATGACAACTATCGCAAAGTCCAGAGCAAGAGTGCCCAACACCCTCTATAATGTATTTATTGTCTGGCTACTTCTTCTTTGTAGTTAAGATACCTGGGAGTTGTCACCTTGCTGACTCCACAATTCATTGGCCCCTACTTACAGGCACTGGTGAATTCAGTCTGCTAAGACTGCCTGGTTGCCCTTCCTGAGCCATGCTGCTACTCAAGTTACATGACCCAATAATGTATGAGGTTGGTATTGTCTTGAGCATGTAGGAACAGACTCCCTTCTAAACTTGCTTTCTTATTCTTCGGTCAAAACATACATGTTTGTCGCCCAAATTAGTAATCTCAGGAATTGCAACCTCTACAATTCAAGATCACTATCTTCTTTCTGAGTTTCTTTTTCCTTCTAATCACTTTGCACCTGTCATCTGCAATTCTTAGTTGTTACCTTCAAAAAAAGATACTGCCTAAAGCCATCCCCTACCAATTAAACTGTTCATTCACTTCCACATTATCAATATCTTGCCCTTGTATACTCAGAATAAGCTTTCAGACTTAAGACTATATATGGGGAGACAGTCTTTTTTTAAGGGGTCCAGAGAAAGTCCCAAGGGCTACATGCAGGTTTTCAATTGGGTTAAAGTGAAAGCAATGTTATTACTTTAATCTTAAGGTTACTCCCTTAATCTTTAGTAACTTCAAATATGTGTTTAAGTCCCAAGGACAAAAAAAAAAAAGCATTAATTTTTTTTCCTTATGTGATTATATTACTATGTGCACTCATTTAAACTTCTCTGACTAAACTTACAAAGCAAACTAGATATACAAAGTCAATTTTTTAACCAGCTTCCCAAATGTTCATTGACTTAGCCTGTATCAGAATACCGATAATGTTGTTTTGATTTGGCAGGTGCTGTTAAATCAATGAGATTTATAGGGCAGTCGTGACATTGCCAGCTCACTATGGGGACACAGGGCCCCCAGAGACCTACTCATCAGGACTTTCCACTCAATCACAGGGGACACGAACTACCAATTAGTGTTTAAAATTGTGAAAAGGCTTTCTCTTGAAATACTTGCTTCCAGATTTAAATGGAACTAGAAATACTAGATATACTTCAAGCTCTTTAAAACATTTTCCTAGGGGGTGGGGGAACAGGGGTGTTCAAAATATCCTAGGTGTGTCTTGTCACCAACTCAAGAAATTTTAATTATTTAAGTGCCAAAAGACCCCATTTAAAGTCTGTTTCTCCTGTATTTAAAATATATATATACTTTTATTGACTTCAGAGAGAGGAAAAGAGAGGAAGAGAGAGAAATATCCATGATGAAAGAGAATAATTGATCGGCTGCCTCCTGCACACCCCCTACCGGAGATGGAGCCCACAACCCAGGCATGAGCCCTGACAGGGAATCAAACCTTGACCTCCACTGAGCCACACCAGCCAGGCAAGTCTGTTTCTCCTACAAGGAGACTCCACAGTAAGAGCCCTGGGATAGAATTATAAACAACCTCTTGACATAATGAAAGAAAGGTTGTTCTGTGGAATTTCCAAACCACTGATTTCTCAAGTATCTTGTAAAATTCCCTTTCCATAGCATTTGGAGGGAGTCAAGTAAACAGCTGAAAGTTTATGTGCATTTTTTGAGGTGAGAACACCTCGGGCAATAATTACATCGGCTTCCTACCCAGCACAGGCAAACTCAAACAGACGTCTTTCTCAGTATCCACGGACTGGTGCCCTAGATGGACAGGAACAAGTAATCAGCTCAAAGACAGTGCAAACACAGTTGCTGGGAAATCATTCCTCACGTTGTTTTATTAACTTAATCAGTTTATACTTTAAAACAGCAAGAAGAATGGCTTTAATGCCAATTTTTCAAAGATACTATAGTACTTTGTAACACTCTGGAATCTCTTGACCTGCTGTTATGAAAATAGAAAGATGGCAAGACCCATGGATGCTATGGGAAGAAGTACCCAGAAGCGGCAGAGCTGTGTTGGATTATTTCATTTAAGAAGTCAAAGGCCAGTGGGGGGATGCTCTATTTTTCAGTGTTCCTGGGAAAACTGAAGGGACTCGTGGAGGTAAGTTCCTTTATCCCAATCTGGACTACATCGAAAAGCAAAGCCCCACTCTACTTTATATGAGCACCACAGAGTCAGGAGCACAAACAAATGGATGCTTCAGGGCCCTTTTATACCTTGGCATGCAAGCCTCAGTATTCCCAATTAATTTATGTAAATCCGAGCCCATACACAGCCTCCCGAGGAGGTGTAAGAAATTTTAATTAAAATGATAAATGTCCTCTTCAAGAATAAAGCTCTACTTCACTAATAAAAAAAGGCTAAAGGAGTTCATCAACACCAAACCAGAATTATATGAATTGCTGAAGGGGGTTCTTTCAGAAGAGAAAGTAAATAAAGATAAAATTTATGAACAACAAATACGTAACTATCAACAAGTGAATCTAAAAACCAAGGGAATTAAAAAAAAATCTGATGAACAATATTAACTGTTGAATATAATAGAATCAGAGGTATGGAAGGGGAGTGAACTGACGATTCTTGGGGAAAAGGGGAGAGGGGGATGTGGGAAGAGACTGAACATAAACTGTGCACCTATGGATGAGGACAATGGGGGGTGGGGAAAGGGCAGAGGGTGGGGTGGGAACCTGGTGGAGGAGAGCAATGGTGGGGGGGGGAGGGAGAAGGAACATTTGTAATAATATGAACAATAAAAATTTATTTAAATAAATAAATAAATAAATAAATAAATAAATAAATAAAATTTAAAAAAAGAATAAAGCTCTAATAGCCCTGGCAAATGAGATAACAATGGGCTGCTATTCTCCTTTCTGGGGCAGCATAGATACTTTAATGAAAGTTTTTATACCCCCTCATAAAATTATTCTTATAAGGAATATCACCAAGTGTTTGATAGCTTTTTGATAGGGAGGTATCCTCATTGAAAAGATCCAACATGAAGAGCGAAGACTCTGGAGCTCAAGTGCCTAGATTCAAATGCCTATTCCACACTTAGTAGCTGTGTGACATTCAGCAGGTCACTTAACCTCTCTGTGCCCCAGTTTACTCACCTTTCAAATGAGGATAACAATACTACCTACCTCTTAGAGTTGCTGCGATAATTAAATAATTAAATACATGTAAGTTGCTTGGAAACTGTACTCAACACAGAGTAAACAGTAAGTGTTGGCTAATATTTAATTACCACCACCACAACAACCACTACTACCATCATTACCACCATCACCATCATAACCACCACCACCACCATCACCACCTCCACTATTATAATCATCATCATCATCTTTTCCCATTGCATGAGAAACTGAGTACTGACCTCCTGTAACATATCAGAATCTTCAATGGCTTTGACAGCAGATTTCTTGGACGTTTCCTGAATTTCCCCACCTATTATAAATTCATCCAGGATAAAATAAGCCTTTTCAAAATTAAAGATAATATCCAGCTCACAGACCTGGTAGGACAAAAAACAACAACAAGTGTTTTTATTAACCTGCAGTGATATCAAGGGAAACATATACCAGTGTCTCAAGCTTTTCAAGTAACACCCATGTGGCATACCAAAAATAAAAATATCAGATAGCATGTGAAGGACAGAAAAATGGAACTAGGGAATTGTAAGCCTTTAATAAAAGTAGTAAAATCACATTCCATTAAAGCAGAGCATGTCCTTAGTAATGTTTAATGTCACAACAAAAGATGTGAGACTCCGTGGAGGAATGAGGCTGCCCAGCTCATATTTCCATCTGCACAGATGAAAGCTGAGCCCCTATACATGTCAGGCTCGGGGCAGTGCTTCCTTTCTCCTGCTCTCTGCTCCAGAGTCTGGGCTCCTAGCTTTAGGACCCTCAGAGGGTCACACTTCAGACCTCAATGGTGCTAATTTTTCTCAAAATTATGCCACAGGCCAGTGGCTCTTAACCTTCAGAATAAGTCTAAATCACCCAGAAGCCACGTTAAAACATCACTGCTGGAGTTTCTAGTTCAGTGTGCCTGGCTAACCCCGAGAGTTTGAACTTCTAACGGGGTCTCAGGTGATACTAATGATGCTGGACGTGTGGCAAACCAATGACACTGCCATAGACCAGAACAGTCTGATAGATTTGGTCAAGTGAAGCAGTGATAAGACTACACCCCATAATCCAAATAAAGCTCATTTCTAATTATTTAACCCAATAGCCACTCAGGCACTCTCCTTGCTGTTCCCTTCAACTCACTGACACCTAACTTTCCATTCCCACAGCCTCCTGAAGGTCAGGAGATGGCAATATTTCAGTCCTCCCTGAGCCCTACCTCTCAGCAGACTGGAGCTTTGGAAACTCTTCACCAATCTCGTCCCTGACTGTGGCGATCCCATTCAAGGCCTGTCCTCTTCCTTCATCTCTGATGATTCCTTTTCAAGCTCCTTAGATTGTTTATCTCCCCTGCATTTGTTTAAGAAGTATTTCACATAGGTACTAGACTTATGGGGGGTAGGAGGGCAGAGATGAGCTCGTAAGGGATATAAATGCCTAATCACTATGTTGTAGACTTGAAACTACTATCATAGTGTATGTCAGCTGTAACTGGAAAATAAATTAATTTAAAAAAAAAAGAAAAGAAAAAGAAGTATAGAGTGCTTGGGACATATCAGGCAAGAGAAAAATGAAGGCTGTAAGAGAAAAAAGAAACTTGCAAAATGTGCATAATGCAATGCCATTTTATTTTTTAAAGTTTGTGTTATAGGAAAAATATGCACTACTTTGCAATTTTAAGCAATCTAGATAAAAAGAAAGCACAGCAGATCAGACACCATGCACATGAAAGAATGTAGGAGAAGTAAGCAGTTACCAGAAGTTGGAAGAAGCAGGAAATCGGGAGATATAGTAGCAAGAGCTGAGGAACCTCAGAGTTCAAGGCAGGCGTAGACCAGGAATCCAAGAAGGCAGGGACTTCATTAGGAGAAACCAGCAGCCAGAACTCTGCAAAGTGAACCTGAAACTAATGCAAGTTCTCTGAGAACTTCTCATACTCCACTCTCAGAGCAGCTGCCCCTCCCATGTCTGTAGGGCTCCCCAGCAGCCATGGGGGAATTTATTGACTGCACCTCAGTTCAAGGGATAGGGATAATGTGAAGTGGTGTGCAAAGCCAAATACACACAAACCACAGACACACTAGGCATGCACATGCACACACAACTTGGATTATACAGTTACTATCTCTAGGTCATAAGGAAAATAGATGTACAAGTTCTATTGGAATGATAGAGAACATTACCCATGAGCAGCTATTTCATATATAGCAACTCCAAAATTCTCCTTTGTGGCTATTTCTTGAGTCTAACCCCAAAAGCTATGTATCACAGAGTAAGAAGAGAAAACATTTCAGGGGAATCTTAGCCTAAATGCAGGTTCTTCAGCTACTGCCTGATTACTCAAATACTTCCTTTTTTTCTTTCTTTCAGATACTTCTAATTCCACCTTACCTGCCCTGCCCCAGAACACTTTATATTTGACCTTCAAACCTTATGCTTTACTATAATTTGGAGTAAGGGTCTTCTCTTAGAGCAGAATATGTGATGGAGCAAGAATATTTCTGGTATTTTAATAACTAAATCCTTTTGGATAGAGTCTAAGAAGGACCTTCCTTTCCTGAATTTCTTCTAAAGTATATACAAAACACATCAAGTTATATACAATAAATCTACTCAATATAAAACTAATGCAAGGTATAGCTAAATAGCAATGGACAATTTAGTAAGTATTGTTAACTGCACTGTTCCTTTGATCCTCACAATAGCCCTATGGGGTTAGCAAAGGAGATATTTCTATTTACCTCTTCCTACAAGGAAATTCCCTCCCTGTAGATCCAAGCACTTCAAGACAGCAATAGCCACACCTTCTGAGGACTTTGAGAAAACTGGCCAAGAGTGTGAGATGGGGAAATAGGCAGGTCTGGAAATGCCAGAGCAGACCCTTATCTACCGAGACCTGGAGCATTTATAGCTTCTATAAACTGGGGTTAATGCTACTTACTGAAAATCAAAAGATTAACTGGTTAATCCTTATAAATCTCCTTGGAATTGAAAAGTGCTAAAAAAACCAAAATACATAACTTAAATCAGTAGCCAGAGATTTTGTTTTATCTGTCATCAGAAGGTAATATTTTTCCAGTGCTGTATATAAGAGAAGCTCAGTACAAAGTTTTCTCTTAGATAACAGAAGGACATAATTCAAGGAAATCTTCAGTAAGGACAAAAGAGAAAAAGTGAACCAAAGAGCAATGTTCCTGAGAGATGTCAATGAGAATCAGTTCGCTTGGCTCATCACTGTTAATTAATAAGGATTGAACACCTACTGGGCAGATAGCCTTGAAATGCTCTTAGCTGCTCTTAGTTTAATGAAAGATTCATTGAATTTTTTAGTGAATTAAATTTTGGATCCTCCTAAAGGTCTGCCCAAACAGGATGAAAGATTGATGTTAGAGAAACAGGAATTCATTCTGATTCTCCCTGTATTTTAAACAAGCCTCGGGTTAGTGAAGAGGAGTCTAATTCTCTTGAGAAAGCCACATGTGCTGAAGTGCCCTCAATTTGGTCAGATAAGATCCAGATCAACATTCAGCCCCAGTTCACATTGTCATAGCTGGAGTAATCCAGAAAAACACAACAGGTCAGACCAGAGTGCAGAAATGAGGAGGACAAGGCGAATCCTGTGGAACTCCTGCAGGCCTTTGCAAAAGGCAGAGCCTGGAGGTTATTTGAAAAGGAATTACCAAAATGTCAGAATTCACCTGAATGACAGAAAGCATAATATCAAATAATATCAAATATAAAAATATGCTATTATGTCTTTGCAAATCTCTCTTTCAAAAATGAAAGAAAAAAACCTTAAGGGACCAGGAAAAAGAGAAAGAAAAGTGATCTAGCTGTCTCATTACTTCTATATGGACCAACAACCTGATGTTCCTGAAGCAACACTTAGGTCTTATCATAATTCACAAGGGAAAAAAGGGGGGAGGGGAATGATAGGGAGGGAAGGAGAGACAGCAGGAAAATTCTTTGAGAGACCTTTTAAGCATTCACTTTATAAAAAAAAAGTTGCAACACATTTGATGAAAACCCAACCAATACTGTAAATGCTGCCCATTCCATTAAATGGAATACAGAAAACTCTAGTGGAAGTAAGTGCTTCTAATAACACAAAATAAAAATCTTCAGTGAGCAAAAAATCATTTACCAAATCATTTTCCAAAGCCAATGTTTATGTATTTGGAGTGTGAACTACCTTAATTGTTTCTGGAACGGTTGCTAAAATATGGTCCACAGCTGGTTACAAGTGTTGAAAAAAACGAAGTCAGTCCTAGGTCATGATCATGAAAGACTAGCAGTTCAATGCCCAAGCAAATCCCGTGTGAGTGAAGGCTAGTACCAGGCTGGCCCATGTGACTGGAGCACTTGGGTGTGTGAGGGATGTAAAGAGAGAAAAGTGAGAGAGTGGAAGAAGTGGCCTGGGACCAAGGTTTAGAAAGCTTCAATAGCAAGCTAAGAAGATTGAATTTTAGATGGAGCGTGACTGAGGAGGAATGTCACCCTGGATCTATGGTTTGTAAGGAAGATGAGCTGAAACTGGTTTGGCTCGGGGGATAGATTATTAGCCTGTGGACTGAAAGGTTCCAGGTTTGATTCTGGTCAGGAGCATGTACTTTGGTTGTGGGCACATCCCCTGGGGGGTTGTGCAGGAGGCATCTGATCAATGATTCTCTCTCATCGATGTTTCTGACTCTCTGTCCCTCTCTCTTCCTCTCTATAAGAAAATCAATAAAATATATTAAAAAAAAAAAAAGAAAAAAAAAAGATGGTAACCAATAGGCCAGGTGAGGGCCAGAGATGAGGCTCCAAAAAAGCAAAAGTATGATCCAAAAAAACCCTATACTAGTTAGTGACAGGAACGAAGGAGAGGAATATTAGCCTAGTTTTAATAGACAGGCAGATTATAGTAAATGCTGGTTAAGCTCAAAGGATCCTGAGACACAATAAATTCAATCACAAGACAGAACAGAAGGTGAGTTTGGTTCTTGTTGCACTGAAGACTAAGATGATTGAGAAGCCCAGCAAAGAGCATTTTCAGCAAAGTGAGAAACAGTCACCTGGTGACAGGTTTCCAGGAGAGAAAATCAGGTAGACACAGCAGAGTAGGAAGAGCAGCAGGGCATTTTAGGGAGCAGGAGGAGGGAGGCAGCTCAGGGGAAGAAGCCAGGAGGGGCCATTAGCAGAATTCAAGGTCCTGGCAACATAATAAGGAGCAAATTTAAAGAAAGAATCGTGGTGAGCCAGGGTCCAGTGCTGCAAGAGATTAAGCGAGTGAAGATTTAAGAAGAGTCACAGGTGTTGGCCACGAGGGCGACGCGGGGGGTAACTGATTTCCTTGGTGCCTCAGAGGTGGAACCAAGCTGTGAGCGGCTGCGGAGTGAATGAGTTCGGTGGATTGGGTCACCTCCTGTAAGACATTACTGGGGGGCAAGGAGAGGAAACAGCCATGTGAAAGGAAAAGGTACTATTTTTGTTGTTTTTATTCTCATGCATAAATAATATTAAAGAACGTGTAACTTAGTAGAAGAAGCCATAGAGGGGCTAAAAGAATAAACTAAAAGAGAGATGACAGTCAATGTCAAAGAAGGAATTTTTCACAATTACACTCTAGTGCATGAAAAAAGGTCTCAAGTGTTGAGGTCTGAAGACAGGGACACCATTTGCCTTGAAATCTGTCAAGTAAGAATTCCAGAAAGTGGGGAAAGCCTTGTGCTCTGATCCTTGGTACAAATGCAATTCATATTTTACACTTGAGAGAGAGAAGGAATGTGATGGAAGACAGACTGAAGTCAGAGCTGAGGTGGAGACCTAGTGATTCTACTAGACCAGAACAACTTACATTTCCAAAGTACTTGTCCAGCAACTCCACATAACGATGCACAATCTCTAGTGTCAAGAGCTCATTGTCCTGACTTTCTACCGCACAGCAAAAGTATAAGCTAGCATACCTTGAAAAGAAAAAAAAAGTAAAATATGATGACCCATTAAACAACCTGAAGGTAGATTTTCCCCAGCGAAGATGCAGTTACCTCCTGCTTCCCATCCAATAATGAAATCATTATTCACCACATTCCATGTCTCAAAATCATAGTCCTTTGTGTTTCTTCTACATAAAATATAATACTTCCCTATCCCATTCGTATGGCTCTTACTTGTCCTGTTGCTCTGAGCTTGGATGTCATTTCTGCCAAGAAATATCTATCCTCTCTGACTGGATTGGACACCCCTGTTATGCATCCCTGTGCCTCCCCCTTCAGAGCATCAGGTTTCTTCATTGTCCATTTCATGGCCTATCTCCCCCACCATATCAGGGTTTCCCAAAGGCAGGCACAGAGTCTGCCTTATTCACTGTTGTACAGCCAATAGCTGTAATATCAGTCAAGAGAACCACTAAAGCCTATCTTTATATATATAAAAGCTCAGCAGCCAAATGGCAGAATGACCAGAATGACCAGTCAATCAGTCACTATGACATGCACTGACTACCCTGGGGAAGACACTCAACACAGGAGCTGCCCATTGGTGGTCTGTGTGCTCCCACAGTGGGAGCAGCCGCTCAGAGGGTGGATCCACAGCTGCTTGGCTGACCAGAGTGAGTGGTGCTCCACAGCGGGCTGATCCCCACAGACCATGCTCCCACCAGTGCATGAATTCATGCACTGGGCCTCTAGTTCTTTATATAATGATTTAAAATACAATTGAACCCAATGTTTTAGAAAACTAGCAGGTGGAGAATACTGTCAAGCTTCTTGTCAGCAAATACTAAAAATATTGACCTTGGATCCCACTTTCTGGTCATTTAACCCATTAAATGTAGTCTGTTGAGGTTACTCCATCTTTCTCTTTCAAACACTCCTTATAAACACTCCTTGCAAGAGCCTTTCTAATGTTTTTTCCTTCTGGAAGTTGCATGAAGATACTGGATGCAGGGTCATGTTTTCCGTGTTTTGATCCTGGCTTGGGTACTAGTATCTAGGTCTTAATAGAAAAAATTACTCTATCTCTTGGAGTCTCAGTTTTCTCATCTATAAATTGAGGTTTCTTCCCAGTATGGTCTTCCCAGGCAAGTAGGTACAATAAAGAGAGAATACATAGGATTTAAAGCCAGAAAGATCTGAATTTGAATTCTGGCTCTGCCAATTACAACTCAGTTACCGTAAGTGGGGACTAATTATGTAAATAAACTCTCTGTGGCATTAGTTTCTTCATCTGCAAATATGAGTAATAATAACAATAAAGAGAGCTTTTCATTTCTGCAGTGCGCTAATCTGCATTTTCCCCATAGTACTTATAACTAAATAAAAAAAAATTGTTTACTTAACAATTGAGTAAGTGCCAGGAGAGCAGGGATGCCCTTTGTCCTGTTCACTAGTGTATCCACAGCCACTAGGACAGTGTTGGGAATACAGTAGGTGCTCATAAGGATGCCAGAGTGCATTATCAACCTGTAGATTAAGTACCTAGACTCCATCCTGGCACATCAAAGTTCTTTCAATAAATGAGAGTTCTTTCTTAGTTAGTCTATGGGTACAGTTATTTGGGCTCCAGTCTTTAAAGATTTCAGTAAATGATGAAATTGGTGTTGCAACCTAAAATGCTCAGGATTAAACAAACCAAATGAGTAACAAGGAATAAATTCAGTTCTCATAAAGTTACTCACACCTTTTATAAACAAGTTTTAGCTCCTTCCAGTCGATAAAACTGCTCATCCTCTGACTACGAGAGAGCACAATCTGAACAATCTCCCGGGTGATCTTCTTCCTTTCCTTGTCAGGGAGAGTTGTGTACCATTTCTGCAGCCGTAATTTCCCTTGTCGACTGAAGAGCAATATGAAATGTATCTATAATAAAGTGGGGACAGAGAAAAAAACAGAACCTGGTCAACCAAATCATTCTATGTAGACAGTGACCAGGTGAACAAAGGATTATAATTCTGAACCGATGAAAAAGGCTTTCCAGCCTGAAAACAATGTCCTTTCTGAAATTATCTTTAGCCCATCAGAGAAACAAAAAAATGTGGACACCACAAAGTTTATTTATATTATAGGGGAAAGTTAAGTTATTTTTAAAATTCCTCTTATGAGTCACAAATACAGGATAGGGAGAAATATATGTCAAGGAAGTACATAATTCTTTTAAGAACACATTAAATTCATCCTTCATAAGCAAAAAGAAAATGTTAAGAACAGTGGAAGACTTTTCTTTAAAAGTTATATCCTACTTCCATATCACTACTATAGACACAGAATAATAGAGAAATAATGGAGAGAAGGGAAAGAAATGAGGATTCAGCAAGGGGGGGAAGTGAGAAGGAGACCATATTTTGTCATTTAAAATGTTTTTTAATTGATTTTTTAGACAGAGAGAAACATCATTGATTGGCTGCTTCCTGCATGACCCCCACAGAGGATCAAGCCCACAACCCATGCATATGCCCTGACCAAGAATCGAACTGGTGGCTACCAGAAATCAATCATTGTCTAACTAATAGAAAGAGGCTGGTCAACCTTGAAGCTCTGAAAGGTCAGAGCCAACCACACCCTATCTAATTGAGACAATAGTAACTGAGGCAACTTCCCCACCTTGTAATCATGTAAATCCTTACTGATATGATAATCTGCTTATTACCTGCCTAAGGGCTATTGGTGTTTCCCAAAGCTGCTTAAGGGTACTGGGTGTTTCCCAAAGCTGCTTAAGGGTAAGGGGTATATCCCATAGCAGCCTCAATAAAAGGGATAGCAAGGCCAGAGCCTAGAGAGTCTTCCCACTAGAGGTTGACTCCCGCCTGGCCCTCCATTTGTCCCAAATTAACTCTTTTCTAGTCTCTCTCTTCATTTTAGTGTGTGGCCTCCTCCAGAAACTGGACCCTGAGTGGGCCCTAATCATGTGGGTTGTGTTAAGGGTTCCCATAGGTGGCCTCTTGATTCCTGGGTCAAAGTTCAACCGCTAAGCTACACTGACTGGGCCACAAACTGTCATTTTTAATAAAAGTTGTACATACTTAAAGTGTACATCATGATTAATACATGTGCATAGCAAAGTGATTTCTACTGTCAAGCTAATTAAAGTATCAACTCACATAGTTACCATTTTTGTGTGTGTGATGAAAGCACTGAAATATATTCTCAGCAAACTTCCAGTATTCAATACAGGGTGTCCCCAAGAAAATGTATATACACTTTGAATAATTATTAATTCCAATAGGTTAAATCTGAAAAGAAAGAAATATCAACTGAGTTATCAGATTTTAATAGTGTATACATTTTTGAGGGGACATCCTGTATACTGAGAACTAAAATAATTCTTTAAACTTTTTACAAATAAAATATTTAACTCCTTTTATTGAAAAGGTTGGGCTCTGAACATCCTGGCCTAAGTCATACAAACTCAATAGGTGGCAATGTCTGAGGGCCAAAAGAAACCAGGCTTTCCTCAGCATTTTCCATACCTCCAACCTATAGAATTTGAGGTCTTCTTAATAAACTATCTCTTCCTTAGAAAGGAAACATGTTTTAACAAGGTCTTGAAGACCAAGACATGGTAAATGAAGAGAAAGCAAGTTACAGAGCCCTACACACCTGCTATCTTTAAGAAAAATTACCCTCAGTCTGGAATTTCAAATATTTACTTAGCACACAGCATTTTCTTAAATACCCGTTTCACTATCAGAACAAGTATAGATAACTGAATAATGCAACACAGTTATTATTTTCTAAGAATCATATCAAGAAAGGCGTTTTTGTTTCTAAGCCTATCTATCTATCTATCTATCTATCTATCTATCTATCTATCTATATATAACGTTAGTGACCATTACGATTGGACACCTGGACAACCGGCCAGTCACTATGACATGCACTGATCACCAGGGGGAAGACGCTCAATTCAGGAGCTGCCCCCTGGTGGTCAGTGCAATCCCACAGCCAACCTCTCCTCCCGCTGCCAGCCAAACTCCTGTGGTCCCTCCCCTCTCGCCTGATCAGGACTAGACTAGATGGCCCCATCAGCCCTGATAGCTAGCCAGGCCAAGGGACCCCCACCCATGCACGAATTTGTGTACTGGGCCTCTAGAATAATCATAAAAGTAGCAATCTACAAGTACAAAGTTAAATGGTGATAGAATAAAACCTCAGAATCTTGAGAACAAGCCCTTTTTTGGATAATCACCAATGGATAAGAGTATTTTGTTTGATGTTTCATAAATAAGCAGATTTTTGTTAGAGAAATGAAATCCACACATTTTCTTAATGTTCACTTTGCATTTTCTGACAGAAAGTTTTCTTCTTACCATTTAATCTAATTTCTTTAAAATCAGTTTAATCTAAATCAGTTCAAATTAAATGGATTTTCCCTGGTTTTATCCACAGAGTGTATAAAAAGACATCGCTATCCTCAGAATAATAGCTAACTTCGAAAATTTGAAGACAGCCTTTAAGTATAGCCTAAATCTTTTCCTTCCAGAAGAAATAACCCTGGTTTCATGTCTTCTTCTTCTTAGTCCTATTTTCAGATGCCAAAGTCATCATGATTGCAATTCTTCCATATTTCTCTATAGGCTCTATGTTCTTTTAATTTGGGGCACTGAGATCAATGCCCAAGTCCCAGCGAGAGGCTATAACTATTGCTGAGTTTAATTGTAGAACACTTTCTAGTTCCTCTATGTTGCAACTTTCACTCAAGAACAGGTGCCTATCTTTTTAAACATGGATCAACAATGGAGAACAATAAACAAGGAGCATTATTTTCATTCTAACAAATTCAAAGGAAAAGAATAATCAGGGACATAATACACATATCCATGAGCCCATACAAAATATAAACATGCATTCCAAATTCAAAAGAAGCAACAAATAGGTTGAAGTTTATCCAGTGATTGCACGGCATAAGACAGTGTTGAAAGAGTTGGATCTCTCAGGTCCTGCACGGGTGCCTGGGGTCTGTTACGCCTCCTCCAGATTTAACAGCTCGAGAGACTCAGCAGAATGAATCCCAGTGGTTCACAAGAGCCATCACCTCCAGCAGTTGATTTAATCCAATTTATCAATTTAGTCCTTCAAGGCAGATGTTTCAAGAGGTTAATCAAATACCATTTTTGATTAGCATTAGCTTGAGAGCAGGAAAAAAGGAAATTGGGTGGTTTTCTTCAATAATTACAAAGAGCCAAGTTAAATTCGAGTTGACATCCTCAACAAACTTCATCTGACTTCAGAAAACAACCACCAGACAAATTTTTTCCCCCCCCAATAATGTTGCTGAGAAGAAAGGGGTAATGGAGAGACTGGTAATACCTGCAAACACCAACCCCAGAAATAACCAGAAAACCCAATGTAGTTGACTGAGCTGGCTTGACTGCCTACATTTGACCAAAATGCTCTGGCCTCAAGTGGGCACCCTGTAGCACCAATAGCTCCCATCCCTGTCACAGAAGGAAACACATGTCAGCAGCTCTTTTGAGGGGTCTGGTTCTGCCCCACATGATCCCTCAAATCCAAACATGTAAAGTTAATCCAGGCATTCCTTGTCCTCAGAGTATCCCCTAAAACAATGGTTGACCTTACTGAGCACAGCCCAAAATTACCACCTTGATCTTGAGCAGGAACTGGCTCTTTTCTTCATCATATATTTCTGAAGCATGTCTAGGGAGGTGCATTAATCTTTTGAAGAAAGCACAAAGCAGACCAATACCAATGTATCTGTGCCGCTGCTCTGATCCAGTATTAGCATCTTCCTTCTATTTTTTAATTCTAATTTTTCTCTCCATTTTATTTTGTATAGGTTTCAGGTGTACACCTTGTGGTTAGACAACCATATATTTTACATAGTGTCCCCTATGCGACCCACAGGTTGAGAACCGTTGCTGTAGAGCGTAAGACCATCAGAAAATACAGATATTTCCATTATGATTAATTGACAACAGAAATATTACAGTTATGAAGTAGCAACAAAAATAATTTTATGATTGGGGGTCACCACAATAAGAGGAACTGTATTAAATGGTCATGGCATTAAAAAGGTTGAGAACAACTGCTCTAGGTCTATTCATGTTGTCACAAATGGTAAGATTTCATTTTCTTTTTTATGGCTGAGTAACATTCCATTGTGTAAATGTACCACAGCATTTTTATCCACTCGTCTGTTGATGGCACTTAGGTTGCTTCTGTATTTTGGCTATTGTAAATAACACTGCAATGAACATAACGAGGCCTGTATCTTTTCACATTAGTATTTTGGATTTCTTTGGATAAATCCCCAAAAGTGAAATTACTGGGTCATAAGGCAGATCCATTTTTAATTTTGTGAGTAAACTTCATACTGTTTTTTGTAGTGGCTGCGCAAATCTGCATTCCCACCAACTAGCATTTTCCTTCCAGTTGAAGGTAAACAACGAACACTTCCAATAGCAGTTTTGGTTCTTAATGTTTGAAAATCTCCTTGCTCCTGATCTGAATCCATGTTGTGGACCCACAACCAGCTTCTAAGAAGAGGGGTATTCAGGACTTTTGTCTGTCCCAATACTGTCACACCATGAATACCCCCTTGTCAGAATTGGCTTATATTTCAGGATCCGATCTGTAAATATAAATACACAGACTCTGTCCTTTTCCTTCAATTCCATCAACCTGACAGACCCTTCCTCTAATGGTCAGATCTCATGATACATCACTTAAATAATCCTATTGCTAGGGTCCTTACCAACTTTGCCCCTTTTCCAACTTCTGCCACCACGGCAAATTCCCAGCCCAGAAAAGCCCCTACACTCTTGTCTTTGCTTCTCTACGGAGACAGCAGGCACTTTGCAGATTGGTGCAGCCATAAATCTATGCTGTTCCATCTATGCTGT